AATCAAGGTCAACATTCCATTTGCCTTTCCTATTGCCTGCTTTGCGATTTATGTGCAAGGGTTCTGAAATCTCTACGCTGCAGTCTTTCTCCACTTAAATAATATCCAGCTCCTCTATTTTTTCTGCGAAAGTGCATAACTGTATATTTTTCCATATATTAATCTATATCCTTCTTCAGGGGTATCCATCCTCACCACTTCCTTCCCACCTATATTTGAAGAGTCATACAGTACTCGAAAAATTAACATTATACACCCCTCTCTCTCTTTCTCTCCACAGATGCTGCCAATCTGCTCAGTTTCTCCAGAATTTTCTGTGGTTTATTTCAAATTCCCAGCATCTAAAATATTGTGCTTTTATTCTAGGAGGTTTACCCAGCAGCACCCTCACCTCTGGCTACATTCCTCTTAGATCCTCGCACAAGGGAGCCAATGTCATAAGATTTGGACAGGCAGACACCAGCGACACATCCATTTGTACTTCCTATGCTAATTGCTTTCCTCTGATCTACAGACTACAATGACTTCTAAGTTACAGGACAGTTGGAACTGTGATACTAATCAGCCACCTAGATCTAGTGTTGTCATATAGGATTTCAGTGTTATGGTAAAAGCCAAAGTTGTGGTAACTAGGCCATCATATTTGCCACATGATACAAATACATGAAAATAGGTTTGTGATTTTAAATATCAGTGAGCTCAAAACTGATGCATTCTGTGCCACAGCCAGCAGAACAGCTTCAAAAGCACTCTGAAATCCACATGGTAAGTCTGCCACAGGCATTCTCAAAGTTGTGGGATGGCGGTGGCAGGGAGACAATCTGTGAACTAAAATGCTCTTTTTTGACTATGTGCTTCAGTTTGTTCTAAAAACACATATCTTCAGGAGTAAATAGTCTCTATTTTATCAGAATTGATACATTCAGAGACTTGGGGAAGGAAAGGAAATCAAAAAAATCTACATACCAGTGCTATGAATTTTGACCATTACTTTGCTCATGCTTTCTCGCCTGCCATTTCCTAGCACAGTAATCCAAACACTTAATAACTTTTGACATGTGGCACGCTTCCTGTAATCTCTCTTTTTCTGTCAACAAAACCCTATTCTTTTCAAGTGCTTATTTCAACAGGTCTACTGATATAAGGTGTAATGCATTTGGATCTTGCTGCACCATTCCAGCTTGCCAAAATTGCATATTTCAAGCCTCAAACTATCCATTCTCAAACACCTCATTAACCAGCTAAACAAAACCAAATTCTTCAGTTAGTATCCCCACTGACAATACATTTCCCAACAAAGTTTGAGGGGCTGTCCTTCTGCTTTTATCTTCACATACCAGTCCTGCATTTCTAAATGTATTATTCTTTAGAAATGCTCAGTGAGAACAGGAATAGAGCAGATAACAAACAGCAAACTATTACTCTTCTTTCAATTAGTAAATGTCCCTTCAGCTTCCAGGTCACTAGAAACCTGACAACTGAACTGTGCTATATAGATCCATTTTGACCTATATGTGGCTCCTATCTCACAGTGACATGGCTGATTCTCCCTTGCTTAATTAGGAATAGATGGCAGGGAATGATACCCACCTTCATACTCACAGATACCATTTTAACACAACTCAGTTGGCACTAAAGGTGATCAGCATAAATCAGCCACATGTCTGTGCTAGATTTGTCACATGTGGGAAGTAGTGAACATATTGCACAATATTAATTGAAGAAAGAAAAGTACCTCCATCTCATCATTATGGCACACATCACCTCAATGCAACAAGCCAGCATAGCACTGACAGGCCTGTAGCATTGTTTCTCTCCCTTCAAATGCAAAAATGGCATACATCCAGCATCAGAAGGACAATAGGGGAGCATCATGATTGCTGAAAACCAGCAGCCCAGAGGAAGTGGGAGTGTTAAATTGAATAGGCAGAGATGTATAGAACTTTGTAGAAGAGGATTGTATTGAAAGTGATCCTGCAAATGAAGGAAAGGCAGTTGAACGAGAGGATTAATGGAACGACTATGAATTCAGTGCAATGTTTGTTACATGGAAGCTGAATGAGTGGGATGCTTGCTAATCACATCGAACCTGTTAATTGCACTAATATCGCTGAATTCAGTAGAACAATTTGAATCAATAGAATATTAATTGCAGCAAACTGGTTGAAATCAGCAGAAGCTGATTAAAACCAAAAATCTGTCGCTGTGGCCTAATTGGTCAGCACGTTCGGCTGTTAAACAAAAGATTGGTGGTTCCTGACCACCCAGGCTTGCAGCTTCTACTGTCTTGGGGCCCTCTTGTTGCTCAGTGGCAGTGTCCCTAGTCCTATACTGAGAGGCCCAAGTTCAAATCCCTTCTGCTCCAGAGGTGTGTAACAACATCTTTGAACATAGTGATTAGAAAAATAGTTTTAAAAAAAAATTCACAGCGGGAGGCTCTTGTGGCACAGTGGTAGCATCCCTACCTCTAAAGTACAAGACCAGTGTTTAAATCTCACCTGTTTTAGATGTGTGTATTGAAACCTCTGAACAGGTTGTTTAGAAAATCAGAGCTTCAGTTTATTCCTGGACGGGGAGAAGGAGCTATATGGCTAAGGCGGTGGAAGACAATTTTGATCACACTTACCAATCAATATTCAGTCGTGCACCCAATTAACCAATCCACATCCAGAAGAGGATTGAGCATGAACACCAAAGAGTTTCCTGTATGAAAACCTTGAAAAGTCACACACAACAGTGCTCCAGAGGAAGGCAGAAGATTATATTGATGGGAAGCACAAGAGGGTCCTGATGAATCAAGTAGGATGATCTTGGTCAAAGATCACTTTCAAGCAACTTACAGTAATTTCAGATTGATCACTTTAAGGGTAAATATGATTTCATTGAAATCATTTTACTTAAAATTCTCAATATAGCATGAGATTGTATCAGTCATAATTCTCAGTCTCCAAATCTGAGCAAGGGGTACATTCATCCACAGCAGGTATGAAGATAGAAATGCCTTTAACCATCATACCCATACAGAAGAGTTATCACTGGGTGAGTCATTGAGGACAAGTGAGAATGATGACTTAGGAATGGAAGAGAGAGGGAGAGAGAGAGCAACATTCATTCATAGGAAAACAAGAAACCACAAGCCTTTTGCTTAGGAACAACAATTGTGAGCACCAATTTCATGTGAAGTTAAGTTAGCCTCATGTGTAACGTTGAAATGTTGGATGAATGGAAGAAGTCCACTATGTGCATTTTCAGCACATTGCAGAAAATTTCTCATGATATTCGAGACATGCTGGAAGCTCTGATAATCTAGAAGTTGCTGTGATGCAATTGTGTGACCTATAAACTTTGCTGAAGGATAGTCTACAGGTGACATCTTAACTTCCTCCACCCAGCAAAACTTGGACAAAATGGGAGTCAAAATCAGCACCTCTATTCCCACCCACAACAGGTTATTCTTGTTGCCTTTGCTAATGGTTGACAAGCTAACCTGATTCAGGTGGAATTCCCTTTAAAATTTGTTAATCAAGTACTTGTAATGTACGTAGAATTCCAATGGCATTTTAACTACATATTGAGTGTGAAACCATACTCAAACCTCCCATGACTCACCTGAGTGCCAGCATATAAATGAGACTTGACAATCACTATTACTCAGGCCTCTCATTGAGACTCCCATTGGGCATCTTGTTGATTTCCTACTTGGTGGTTAAAACTGTCCTTATAGGCAAGGGAGTTCCTGAAACTCATTCTCTTTCGTTTCTTCATCTTAATTGTACCTCTTCATAACAAAATAATATGCAATTGATGTCTAGAATACAAAGCAATTCTTTGAATGCAGCAAGTAAAAATAGTGGGGAAAAAATTGAATCAATCCTCAAATATTAAAATGTTTACTATGCATGAGAACAATAAACACTAACCTTCAGCTGTAGCACACAATGATGTGCTTATCTACATCAGGAATAACTTGTAGAAGTTCGGACACTGATATATGGGCAGTCATTATGGTAGGAAGTTTTTGGAGTAGAAATGATTTGGAAGGAATTGAAGGGGTTTGGTCATGCTCTGTTAATTAAAATAAATGGGCCTTAAAGTTAAAGGGGGAGAATTCAGGTTAAGTTTTATTTATTTTTAAAAAATGAATGTCACTGGGAGAATTGTTTTTATTGCCCACCCTTAATTGCTCTAAAGTGGTGGTGGTGGGTCTTCTCTTTAAACTGTTATATGTTTTGTGGTATTGGTGTCCCCACAATTGTGGTATGAAGAAAATCCTAAGCTGTTGACCCAGTAATGATCATTGATTTGATTTGAGACCTTAAAGGGAATTTGGAGGTGATGGTGTTTCCATAACAATACAGCTCCTGTCCTTCTCAGTAACAGAGGTTTCAAAACAGTGAAGCCTTTTGTGATTGATTTCTGGTGGGAACTGTTAAGAACACATTTAACTCTATACGTCACCTCAAAATTGCAGCAAAAGGGATATTCAGAGGAGAATTTTAGCTGAGACTTCTGGATCTAAATACGTTGTAACTGTGCAGTCATTATAACTGTGTTACAATATTATAGATGATGAATGATATCGGAGACACAGTGCTGTTTCATTACTGAGTATCTCTTATTGCTACTTAATGCTTTTCATGTGAAAATGGCTGCTCTCACATTGGCCATCACAATGGAGCTCAATCCTGATTCATTTGATCTCTACATATGTGCACTTTCAAATTGGATTACACAGTAGCAAATGGGTGCAAACTCAGTGATTTCTGCATCTATAGTAGGAACATCGAAGATCACTATAGTGCTCAATCGCAACCTTTGTTGAGATCAAGGAAGGGACTTAACTGTTCCTGGTATGCACAGTTCAGTTCCATACCTGGCAGGAAACTCAATTAGTCTGAGAAGTTAAACAAATGGCTTCAAATTGTACTTCTTAAGAATTGTAAACAATTATTTAACGTTTAAACCAGTGAGACGTTTTGAAAAGTAAAAGCAACACTCACCCTATCTAACCTTTTAGCTTCTATATGCCTGAGCAGTTGTTGTCTCCAGTCTAGAGGTATTTTAGCAGAGTTCTCATCTCCTTTCAACTGTGAAGACCTGATCCTTATATCATTGCTCTCTGAAGGCTTTTCATTGTAGTTACTGATGTTATAATCTGAAGGTAACTTTTCTAATAGAGCTGCCATGGTAGGCCTTGCTGAAACTGGTCTGGTTTGAGAAAACCCATAGCTTTCTGTACTGTAGCTTCTTGCAGACAAAGGTCTCCTCTGAGTTAGAGGTTTATCTTGGAAATTCCTACCCTGATTTTTTGTGTCATGGAATGTTGAATAATCTTCTTCATATCTTCCATTCCTTTTGAGATACTGTGATTCAACCAATGATGCACTGTTCTGGTGTTCTAAAACTCCTCTGAAGTGCGTCCTGACATATCTGTCACTTTGTGGCAGCTCTGGAGCTTCATTTACCCTTCGATGCAACACCATTTCTGTGGAGGTTGCTAAGGAGTCTCCCCTTCTCAAGTATCCAGCCCTCTCCCCTTGACTTGAAAACCGAGGATTAGCTGGTTCATCATTCACTGAAGGTTGGGAGAATGAATACATATGTTCCACAGGTTGATAACCTCTGAATGAGCGTGGACTAATGAGATCTTTTGAAACCTGTTTGTTTTGATGGACACCATAGTCAACATTATGTGTAAAAGAAGTGGTTACTCGTCTCTCAGGTTTAACATTTATTGTACCTTGAGGATTGAAACTTTGGTCGAAATGGTACACTTTTTTTGTAATTGGAACCCTTTGAGATATCTTTCCACTTCCATATGTTTCTGATAAATCTTCATCCAACATTGGAGCAGAAAGGCTGCGTGACATACCTTGTTCTTGTGTTGGCATTTGTTCCGGTATATCAATGCTACCGGGGTTTTCTGAGCTGGAGCCATAACTGTCCAGTGGTATGTTATAAATTTTGAAGGCCCCAATGTCAATTTCATCAATGCTTTGGGATTTCTTAAACTGGCCAGCTCTAACCGATCTCATCATTGGTGCAAGTCTTTCTGTACTTTTACTGGCGATAATGGCACTCTTGGCGGACTCGGGTCTGCAGATGTGTGAGAATTTATCTGCATGACCTTGATTTAAATTGGATTCCCTAGAGTTGAGAAAACTCCATGGAGCACCTGATGTAAAAGGGCTGGGCAGTTCGGTAATTCCATGCACTGACTGTTGTTCTGGATCTTTCCTATCAGGAATAGGGCTGCTGAAAGGGGTACTATCCAACTTTGATGGAAATGCTGTCCTATCCTCAAATGGACTAGGCGTCCTAGTCCAGTTTTGCCAAGGATTACTTGGAGGCACTTCAGTTTCTGGAGTACTCCTGATACTATGTACGGTATGCATTGACTGTTCTAATTCCAGTGGCATTCCTATAATTCTGTCCTGTCTCATTAATGGCCTACGCCCATGGGCAGACGTGCTCCTTGATTTTGTGCTTATTAAGGGGTTGGCACCTGGATTTTCTAAGACTGAAGTGCTTTCTTCTGCAACAAAGCCTGTATTATCATAATGTGAATTATCATTCCACTTATCAGAAAAAGTTTCATTCACGGGACGCCTCTCAGTACGTTGTTGTAGACTTGCTGTCGATGCTGCCTCCCTCTGGCTGAGTAAGGGTTTTGCTTCAATGTTTTGTTGAAATGTCTGTGTTAACCTGCTGAGTCAGAAGAATGAGATATTTGAATGCTGATCAGAGAATTCCAGATATTTTAAAGCTCATGCATCTATTAATTTAAAAAGTTTGAATATCACTAAAATGTTCTTACAGTTCCAATGGTAGAACATTGGAGTAGGAGCTGTCATTTGGTGATTTTGATTGGGTCATAAAGTAATACGTGGAAAACAGTTATAAAACATTAGATTTGGGAGATGATTTACTCATTAGGTTTTTGTTTCACATCACAATCATAACCAATACTGATCTCTCTCAGCTATGATACATTCGATATCAAATGAGAGTGCGCTGCAAAAATAGGTGCCAAATGAAGACATGACATTTCTTATGGAAAGAGAAAGATAGGACAACTTTTAAAAAATATTATTTGTGAGGAAAAACTCAGTGCTGAGCTTTTGAACTCTAGGGCAACGTTGATGATAAACTCCACTGAGCACAAAGTCTGCTTATATAAAGTCATTGAGTAATATAGCATGGAAGCAGACCCGAAGGGTCTAGGCCCGAAACGTCAGCCTTCCTGCTCCTATGATGCTGCTTGGCCTGCTGTGTTCATCCAGCTCTATACCTTGTTACCTCAGTCCAATTCGTCCTCATTGACCACATATCCCGTTATGACCTAGGGCCATTTGCCCACATTTGGCCTATATATATCTAAACACGGAATATTTGAAGTTATCCAGCAAAAATGCCCTTTAAATGTTGTGCTTAGATTGAACCCAGAATTCAAATACTGGTATCTAACCCATTGCATTGGTCACCCAATGCCCTTTGAGAAAATAATTTGTAATTTTCCTAACCATTATTAACTTGGAAGACTTGAGCCTGATTAGAAAATACTCTTCAAAAACCACATTAAACAATTCTATCAATTTGCCAAACAATCCAGTTTGTTTAGCATGCTGCTGTCTAATACAGCAGGTTGGAAAGCAGTTTACGATGTAAAGTTACCCACAACAACTGCTGAGAATACAGCACTTGAACTAATATTTAAATGGAGGTCAACAACTGAGGCATGTGATCCGAGATTCAAGCTTGAGTCTCTAAGAGTTAGCACTTAACTACCTGAGTTAACGAGACTGCTCAGTTAATGGAAAGTATGCTTCAAAACACCGTTTTGTTTTGTCAAACCACCTGCGTGTCATGAAAACGGTTGAGACATCTGAGTTGTTTGATAGCCTAAATTAGTTCTGCTTCCTAGAAACGTTTCTTTAATCAACCTGCTCAGACATGGTATAACATACCTCTGGGACAGGTGGGACTTGAACCTGGAGCTCTGGCCCAGAGGTAAGGATGCTGCCACTGTGCAACAAGAGCCCAATATTGACGTTTATCCCTGAAAATTATTTTAAGCTTTCTATAAGTACATTATTAGTCAGGATGAGCTTGCCACGATTTGGATCAGAAAATAGGATGCATGGTTAGTAAGTTTATAGATGGTGGTATAAAGGACAGTGAAGGTTATCTAAGATTACAAAGAGATCTCGATCAATTGGATCAATGGGCTGAGGAGTGGCAGATGGGAGTTTAATTTGGATAAATGTGAGGTATTCCATTTTAGGTAATATAAAAAAGGACAGGACCTATACAATTAATGGTAGGGACTGGATAGTATTGTAGAACAGAGAGACCTAGGGGTCCAGGTACATAATTCTTCAGAATTTACATCACGGGTAGACAGTGTGATGAAGAAGGCATTTAGCACACTTGCCTTCATTGCTCAGACCTTTGAGTATAGGAGTTGGGATGTCATGTTGAGGCTGTACAGGATGTTGGTGAGGCCTCCACTGAAGTACTGTGTGCAGTTCTGGTCGCCCTGCTGTAGGAAGGAAATTATACTGGAGAGGGTTCAGAAAAGATTTACCAAGACATTGCTGGAAATGGAGGGCTTGTGGTATAATATTAGACTGGATAGATTGGGATATTTTTCTCTGGAGTGTAGGAGGTTGAGGGATTACCATATTGAGGTTTATAAAATCATAAAGGGCATAAATAAGGTAAATGACAAGGGTCTTTTCCCTAGGATGGGGTAGTCAAAAGTAGGGGTCATACTTTTAAGGTGAGGGGAGAAAGATTTAAAAAAGACATGAGGGGCAACCATTTTTAAACACAGAGTGTGGTTTGTGTGTGGAATGAACTGACGGAGGAAGTGGTGGATGTAGGTACAGTTACAATGTTTAAAGGACATTTGCATTTTTTTCTATTCATTTGTGTGATGTGGGCATCGCTGGCTGGCCAGCATTTATTGCCCATCCCTAGTTGCCCTTAAGTTAATGAATAGGAAGTGTGTGGACGGATATCGGTCAAGTGCAGGCAGGTGGGACTAACTTAGTTTGGGAACATGGTTGGCATGGACTGGTTGGACCGAAGGACCGGTTTCTATGCTGTCTGACTCTATGACTCTAAATAAATAACGATGTTTAACTCGGCTGCAGCAGTGAAATTTATCTGTGTTAAGTTTATACTGAGATCAAATTATCTAATACAACGAGCTTATGTGCTAAAGCAATTGATTGGAACACATTAGTCAGGGGAGGCAATGGCCTAGTAGTATTATCGCTGGGTTGATAATCCAGAGACCCAGGTAATGTTCTGGGTCTCAGGGTTTGAATCTCCCCCCACAGCAGATGGTGGAATTTGAATTCAATAAATATCTGGAGTTAAAAGTCTAATGATGACTATGAATCCATTGTTGATTATCAGGAATAACCCATCTGGTTCACTGATGTTTTTTAGGGAGGAAACTGTGATCCTTATCCGATCTGGACTACATGTGACTTCAGACCCACAGCAATGTGGTTGTTTCTTAACTGTCCTCTAGGCAATTAGGGATGGACAATAAATGCTAGCCCAGCCAGTGATGCCCACATCCCTTGAATGAATAGAAAAAATAATTTTCTTTGGGAGATGCCTGACTTTTTTAGTTATATTTTTCCTCCAGCTGGGAAAATAATAGAGAATCCCTTAGAAGTTGATGCTTAGCAACACAGTACATTTGCTGTGTACTATTGCACTATAAATATTTTCTTTTGTAAGCATTTGGATCACAGATCCTACACATTGGAAGGTCTGGCAGACATTAAATATGCTGGTCAATGGTAGCAACCATTTAGCTTAACATGTGACAGGAGCCATTGCATTCATAGACACATCCCTTGGCTTAGTTTTCTGTCTAAAGATTGGGGAGGAATTCGCAGCATTGAAGCAGGACTCAGGTCAAAGGTTCCCTCCTGACCAGACATATAAAATTCTCTGGGATGTGCCCTTGAAAGAAATGAGAGTTAGGAGAAAAAGCATTTCTAATGAATTGCCTGAATGTCTCTGGCCTGCCCCTAGACCCAAATCTGTTCATATTTTGGTCATGTCATTGGCCAGCATCCATCAATCAATATGCTGACTATCCATTGGTATTAGTCAGAGGAAATTGAAAGAAAAGACTGGAACTATCCCTACCAGCTTCACTGTGAAAGTAATTCTGCTCCTGCTACAGGTGCAAGAATTTCAGGCCCTCAGCTTCCTCATTTGAGAAGAAATTTGAACCTTCCTCCTGCACCATGAGCAGCTTTGCTATTTTCCACACAATCCCAATTGAGGAGAAACTTTGTATTTTGCTATGTTCCCACTGAGAAGAAACTGAACCTTTCGTACATGGCAATCTTTTTAAGCTTCATGATGGTGAGCTCTAGAAACTATAACTTGAGACAAAAATGATAGTCAAATGGGGAAATGCAGGTTGTTTAAGGAAAGTCCGCTTGGATTTAAGGGCTAATTACATTTAATTAATGATTTGAGGAGGCGAATAAGAGGATTGATGACGCTGTTGATGTGGTGTACAAAAATTTTCAAAAGGCATTTGATAGAATTCTGCACAACATGCTTGTGAACAAAATTACAGCTCATGGCGTGAAAGGGAAAATAGTAACTTAGATACAAAATCGTGTGTGTAAAGAGGAAATAGTCTTGGAAAGTGGCAGTTTTTTGACTGCAGGACAGATTTTAGTGGCATTACTGAGGGCCTGGTTTTAAGCTCCTTACTCTTCCTATAGACCTAGACCTTGCTATACAGATCAAAATTTCAAAATGGTACAAAACTTAGAGATATTGTAAAGAGTATAGTTTAAAACTCCAAAAAGACATTGTCAGCTTTTCTGATGAAGGGTCTAGGCCTGAAACGTCAGCCTCTCTGCTCCTATGATGCTGCTTGGCCTGCTGTGTTCATCCAGCCCTGCACCTTGTTGTCAGTTGGTGGAATAGTTTAGACAATGGTAAATGAAATTTAGTGTGGAGAAATATGAAGTGATACATTTTGAAGGAAGAACACTGATAGACAATCTAAAACAAAGGTTACAACTGTAAAGTGGGTGCAGCAGCAGATAGAACTGAATGTACATGTGCAACAATAATTGAACTTGGCAGGTCAGATTGAGAAAGTGCTTAACAAAACATATGGCATTCTTGGTTTTATTAATAGAGGTGTAGCATACACTAGCAAAGAAATTATGTTAAACCTGTATTAATCTCTGGTTTGATCTCAACTGGAATATTGTGTTCAGTTCTGTGCATCACACAAGATTTGAAGATATTAGGAAATGTGCAGAAAAGATTAATGAGAATGGTTTCAGAGAATAGGAACTTCACTTAAATAGAAAGAGTAGAAAAGTAGGAATTGCTTCCCACATAGAAGAGAGAGTTGAGAGGAAAATTTATGAAGGTATTCAAAACCAAAGGGAGGTCCGGACAGAACAGGGAGAAAACGTTCCCAGTGGTGGAAATACTGGGAATTGGGGTGCAGGGGAGGGGTTGTTGGTGCACATTTTAGTTGATTGGCAAAAGAAGCAAAGGCAACATGAGCAAAAACATTTTCATGCAATGAGTTGTCAGGATCTTGAATGCACTGCCTGAGTATGTGGTGGAGGCAGATTCAATCAAGAATTCAAAAGGAAATTGGATCATTATCTGAAAAGAAAATGAAGTGCACAGTC